ATTTCATTAGTAATCTATTGATGCAGATGTGACTGAGCTGAATCAAAGGAGCACTCCAGGCAGAACTTTGCATAACCCTTGCAGTGGAGCTATTCCTGCACTGCAAAGGTTAATTGCTCATTTTGGTCTAAGTGCTAAAATAAAAAAGTTATACTCATCCGAACCTCGGAACAAGCCGGGTGTCCCAGTGCCCCGTCTCCTCCTACACTGAAGTGATGACACTGTGTATAGAACATGATGACTCCATGATCCTTAGACCACTAAAGCAGACTAGAGCAGAGTGAAGCTGGCTTGGAAAATCAAGTGAATATAACTTTTTTATTTTAGTCCCTAGACAAAATCAAGCAGTTAACTCTTGCAGTGCGGCGGTAGCTTCTTTAACTACACTAAGCCTTCCATTCAACATCCAAATTATAGCATTTGTTAAGCACTGCTTGAATTTTCAGCAGCAGCAGTCAGCACTAGTGATGGGCCGAACACCCGAACGGCCGAAAAGTTTGAATACAAACTCAAACCAATGCAAGTAAATGGGGGTCGAACTTTCTAAAATGATTGTCCCCTTTAAAAATGCTTATATGCAATTCATTGGCCATAAAAGGTTTTTAAGGAGCAGTGATTTTAACATCACTTAAAGAGTAAGAATAAAAATGAAAAATTCCTTCAAATATCATGCCTGGGGGGTCCCCTTAACCTGCCTGTGAAGTGGCGGATCTGTGGGATGTATAGAACCTGCTGCAGCAAAACTGACATTTCTAAAGAAAAAAACTACATTATGCTTAAAGCGTGCAGTTCCCCCTCCCAAAGAATACCAGACCCTTTAGGTCTGTTAGGAATGTTAGGAGGGACCAATTTTGTTTTTTTAATAGCGTAGGGTTCCTCCTAAAAGTCAAACCAGACCCTTAAGGTCTGGTAGGAAAATTCAGGAGGGACCCCGTGTAACAAAAACAAAAGAAAGTGTGTGGGGTTCCCCCTCAAAGTCATACCAGGCCCTTAAGGTCTGGTAGGAATAGTGAGGAGGGATCCCATGTTTAAAAAAAAGTGTGTGGGGTTCCCCCTTAAAGTCATACCAGGCCCCTAAGGTCTGGTAGGAATTTTAAGGAGGAACCCCACCCCCAAAAATGGGAGTAAAAAACATGGGGTCCCCCCTAAAATTCCTTACCAGACCCTTGATCCGAGCACTGGCCTGACAGGGCCGGAAAGGGGGGGGGATGAGCAAGCACCCCCCCCCCTCCCTCCCACACGCCCTCGGCACTGGGAGGGTGTCCCTGTGCCGATGGGGGACAAAGGCCTCGTCCCCACAACCCTGACTTGGTGGTTGTGGGGGGTCTGCGGGCAAGGAGGCTAATTTGCATCGGGGTACCCCTTTAATTAAGTGGGCACCCAGATGCCGCCCCCCTCCCTTGTGAATGAGTACCCCTACCCATTGAATAAATACCCCTACCCATTCACTAAAGGGTAAAATAGTTATTAAAAAGGCCAGACTTTTGATAAAATCCTTTAATTGAAAAAAACAAAAGATATGTTTTTGGCAAGTCTTATATTTTAAAAAAAATGGATCAACCGACGTAATCCAGGGTCAATCACGACGTCCAGCGTTGTCCACGACGACGACTAAATAAAAAATAAAACAATAAAAAATAAATAGAAATCAT